CAAATTGGAAGAGGTTGGATTGGTTAGCCATGGTTGAGTTGGCACACGGTGGCCGTGATCAGTTCCTTCAGCGTGATTAAGTTATGCAAGTGATTTTTGATGGTACGTGTGAGGCTTGTCGGCCGTCGTAATTGAATTTATTCGGAAGTATTCTAGTATTATGGCCTGCTATGTGTAGGCGGATCCCCGGAAAGGGCTATGGTGGTTTAGGCCATTACTTGAAGAATTGCAACTTCTACGGTTGTGAGAATTCACTCGTGTGTTGCTATGGTACTTATGGAATGAGTTAAGTAGAAAGTTTCCATGTGAGGAAGTGTTTACCATGTTAGTGGTTCAGGAGTTGTGATGAAATTCTTGCACTATCGCATGTCGGCATGTGAGGTGCAGTGAGTGGTATGGAATTTGAAGGAGAGGAACAAGGTTGTGATTTGGTGTTGACAAGGATGTCACGAGCTCGGATGAGCATGAAAAGGATTTGAATATTTAGAGTAAGTTGGCATTGTCTTCAGCGTCACCTGAGATCGGTAATTTGTGAAAGAGGCTTTGCATCCTGGTTATGGATTTTTGATCGCTTTTCAGCGTTAGAGCGGCCGGTGGCATGGATATGCAGACTTGTTATCTGTTATGGAATGTCGTGGGAGCGTGTTCCATGGGAAGATTGTATAAGTGTGGCATGTAGTCACTTGATTGATTAAAGGATGAAACCAAGTATGAAGATTGTGGTGATATCATTAATTTGAGAATTTATGCCTGGAGAGCACTCGATTATTGGGTTGTGGACTGCGGAGGATTACTTCGGTTATGATGGTTGTTCTTGTGTGTTATGGGAAAAAGGGGTTATTATGGACCCATAAAAGATTATTGGCCTAGTTCGGTACGATCAGAATCGGCTTGAGGTCTGTGGATGGATTTAAATATGAATATGGGCTCTATATCAGGACGAATATGTTCATTTCAGCATAGCTCTCCTTATGGAGGGGTATTCGGACGTTGGATGTTATTTCGTCATCGGTTATTTCATGTAATGCTATATTGTGCCGTGTGAGTTGCGAAACGGCTTGGTAGATTTCTTATGTGTTGAGGTTCCGTGTAGCGATGGTGTTAGGTGAGCAGGATGGCTCCTTAGTTTCATAACATATATCGCACCTCATTTGTGCTTGAGTTTGTTATCTTATAGCGCTATATGTCCCCTCAAGGATAGTATTATGCACTTAGCGTGCTTGTGACCGATATTCGGTATTGTGTTGCAATGAGCAATTTAGCTCGATGTGTATCTCCTTATGTGAATTTTATGTGTGTATCGGGTGGCACGCCGCCATGAGTATGTTGTTTGGATCGGGTTGCACGTCGCAACAGTGTGATGATAATTATAGTCCCTTATATTCTATTCTGTGTGTTTTGTTTCCCATTTTTTGAGGAAAGTTCACATTAGCTGCGTGATTTGAGTAGTCCCTCCCAAAGTTCGTCTTTCTTATGTATATCGTTCGAGTTGGTAGCCTATTGGCACGTTTTGGCATCATATGAGATTTTTGGTCATGTCTGGGGAGGCTTGTTGCCTGAATAGTTTGTACTGGGTGAGACAAGGTTATTGGATCTAGGATCAGTGCGATCGGATTGTATGAAGTATATTAGAGAGCAAAGATCATTATTTGGTTCAGAATGAGGTAATGTTCTTGTCAGGAGTGTAGCCTCAATGATTTGTTGACTTGGCAGTTGGTTATGGATTTCTACACGTCTCTTCTGTCGTGGCGGTGTTGCGAGAGTTGGAACAAGACTTATATATATCATGAGGTGCGTTGTGAGCATCGGATTCGGGGAATGTTGTTATTATGATCAGAGGATGTTATTATGAACCTGTGAATGATATGGTGCATGGTGAGAATTCGGCAAAGATATGCAGTCATGTTCTGCTACCTCGTGTAGTGATTGATACGGTGTTCATATATTGGAAGCAGGCTTGACGGAGAATTTCGGATGTTGGAATTGGGTTCTAAGCTTAATTGTTTGAATAAAAGAGAATATCTTCAGATCTGATCGAGTTAATGTGCTCAACCGAGTTGTGGTAGCACGGGTAGGTGCATAAGGTGTTTAACTGTGATTTCAGACAACTCCAGCGCAGTTCTTAGCACGTTGAAGGACGAACGTATGGGAGAGGATGTAACGACCCGACCGGTCGTTTTGAGCTCTAGCACGTCGTTCAGCAGTTTGAGGCCATGAGCAGCTTCACTTAAGGTATTATAACTTGTACGCATGGTCGGAATTGAATTTCGGGAAGTTCGGAGTTGATTTGGAAAGACAATTCTCATTTCGGAAGCTTCAAGTTGAAAGAATTGACTAAGATTGGGTTTTTGAGTAAACGACCTCGGAATCGGGATCCAAAGGTTCCAGCATGTTCGTATGATGATTTCAGACTTGGGCGTATGTTCAGATCGGGTTTTGCAAGACCCGGGAACGTTTTGGCACCTATTGTGGAAGTTATCATTTTTGGAAGAATTTCATAAATTTGGGTTGAAGTGCATCTCAGTGTTATCAATGTCCGTTTGGGATTTCGAGTCTGGGAATAGCTCCGTATGGTGATTCTGGTATTGGGAGCGCAATCGGAAGTGAATTCGGAGGTCTGTGGGTCGTTTTGGAGTCATTTGGCTAAAGATAGATATTTGAAGGTTTTTGAGAAGTTTGACCGGAAGTGGACTTTTTGATATCGGGGTCGGACTCTAATTCCGGAAGTTGGTGTAGGTCCGTAATGTCGAATATGACTTGTCTGCAAAATTTGAGGTCAATTGGACGTGATTTGATAGGTTTTGGCATCAAATGTTGAAGTTTGAATATCTCAAGTTCATCAAGTTTGATTTGGGGTGTGATTCGTGATTTTAGCGTTGTTTGATATGATTTGAGGCCTCGAGCGAGTCCGTAATGTGTTTTGGGACTGGTTGGCATGATTGGTCGGGGTCCCGGGGGCCTCGGGAGGATTCCGGGTGGTTAACGGATCGAACTTTGAATTTGAAGAAAAGCTAAGGTAGCTGATATCTGGTGTAACCGCACCTGCGAGGTTATGTCCGCAGGTGCGGAGCCGCAGAAGCGGCCTGAGAGTCGCAGGTGCGGAATGGGCAGCCAAAGGAAGGACCGCAAATACGGGGCATTGGCCGCATCTGCGCAAGCGCAGAAGCGAGGGAGTTGATCGCAAAAGCGATTTTTGGCCATGAGCCTAGGACCGCAGAAGCGGCACGTGGGTCGCAGAAGCGAGGGCCGCAGGTGCGGCTTGTGCACCGCAGGTGCGGAAAGGCTGGAGGCAGTGTGTTCTTTTAAAATAGGGAGATGGTCATTTTTCTCCCATTTTCATTTGGTGTGGGCGACTTTGGAGAGCTTCAAGTGGGGATTTTTCATCATCAACGACAAGGTAAGCTAACCCCACCTATCTTGAGTTAAATATATTAATTATGTATGGATTTTAGCTTGAAAATTAGTGGAAAACTTGGGGTTTGAGGGAAAACCTAGAAAATTTGTATTCATGGATTTGATCACGATTTTGGACATGAAATTAAGAGTAAATTATATATTTGAGTTCGTGAGGTTATGGGTAAAGTTTATCTTCGAAAAATTTCGGAAATCCGGGCATGTGGGCCCGAGGGTATTTTTGTCAACTTTTCAATCGGGGTTAGGAATTGTTATAAATTGGACTATTATGAGTAATTGAACATATATTAATGAATTTGCGCAATTATTAGCTAGTTTTGGAGCGTTGTGCATCAATGTAAGCCTTCGGAAGGGCGTGGAAGGCCAGTTATGGAACTTCGGAGCGAGGTGAGTCTCCTTTCTAACCTTGTAAGAGGGAATTGTCCCCATTGGTGAGTTAATTGGTTATGTGCTCCTATTTGAGGGGGCTACGTACGCACGAGGTGACGAGAGTCTGTGCGTAGCTACTATTATGCTTAAGTCCTGGTAGTCTAGGACCCAGAAGCATGTCTTACTTGTAATATATGAAATCTTGTTGTCAAAGTGAAATGACTAAACATATTGAAATGTATAAAAGAATTTATAAAAGGTAGACATTCGTTTCTTGACTTTTTAAAAGAGAGTTTTCCTTTTTATTGGATGATTGATTCCCTGATGGTTAGTTGATTGACTGTTTGGAGTGTGTATTTAAATTTGACCGCGTCGCATGTATGATTCGCGAGCAGGGTAATAGATGCATCTATGGTTCGCGCCATTCGACCCTCTGGCAGTGCACAGTTTAAATATTGTTGGATCGGGTCGTACGTCCTCGGCATGATTTGCCCATGCTTGTATTGCTTGCCTTGTAATTTACTGAAGTTGATATTGCTTCTTCCCGTCTTGAGAATATGTGTATAAATGATGAAAAAGGAAATTGGAAATTTTCATATAAAAGAAAGAATTGTTTACTTGCTTCACTCTATTGAATTACATTCGTGTTTATATAAACCCTCGACTTGTCATATTATTGATGTATCGTCATTGGACCATTAGTAAGTGTCGAAGTCGACCTCTCGTCTCTACTTCTTCGAGGTTATACTTACTGAGTACACGTTGTTTTCGTACTCATACTACACTTGCTGTGCATTTTTGTTGCACAGGTTCATGCGTAGCTAGCGGCTTAGAGGCATAGCGGCATGGTTGGTAAGAAGACTTTGGTGGGCTGCATTTATCGAGACGACCCGCAGCCAGCAGAGTCTCCTTCAGAGTATTGTGCTGTATTTTCTGTCCACTTTGTATTCCGGAAAGTTACTGCATTTTATTTTATTCCCTAGTAAATGCTCATGCACTTGTGACACCGGGTTCTGGGATGATTATGGGGTATTTTGTATTGACTTCTTGACATTTATATTTAATTTGAAAAGAGTATCTTTTACTAGTAAAATTGAAGGAAAATCAGAGTTTTCACAATTATTTGAATGAGAATTTAACTAAGTAATTATGGTTGGCTTGCTTGACAACGGTGTCCGGCACCATCACCACCCTTAGTGGATTTTGGGTTGTGACAGCTAGAGCTGGTTTCAGAGCCATAGCATTTGATTACAGAGGATATGGCTTGTCTAATCAGCCACTCGAACCCGAAAAGACCACCTTTTCTGATTTTGTTAACGATATTCTTGGACTCCTTGATGCTCTCAACATCTCTAAGGTATGATCTTCTGCAACTATGAGTAATTGGAGTCGAGTAATTGAGTATACGTTTTCTTGAGCCGAGGGTCTTCGGAAACAGCGTCTCTACTCCTTCAAGATAGGGGTAAGGTCTGCGTACACACTACCCTTCCCAGACCCGACCCCACTAGTGGGATTTTACTGGGTTTTTGTTATTGTTGTAATTGAGTATACAGTCATATTTGGTTAACTTTTAACTTAAGTATGTATAGATACGAAATATTTATCTATCATTCTAGATGTTAAAACAAATTATAGGAACAAAACCAAGTACAAGAGAGTAATTAGGACTAGGTAAGGTTTAAGAGGGACCTGAACTAAACGCGCCAAGTTTAGGGGGTCTTTAGGTATTCTGCCTAATTTATGTCTAGTGATGTTTCATTTTTGCCTTTTCTCTGTAGTTTCATAAAAGTAAGATATATTATGATCTTGTCAGTGCTCAAAATATTTTGATTTTCGAGCACATGTTTGTCGGTAAAAATTATTAAATGGATTCAAGTAGAGTTTTCTCGAACATCTCAATAAGCTAGACCCATATTGCGAGTTGTTTCATGCCATAAATAAACTAGGACCCTCAAAACAATTGTTGGACAGGCGGATCAAGTTTTCTTTTTCTTGTCACAGACAGCTGGCAAAGCCGTGTTTGATCATCGCGTACATGCTCCATTACAGCTTTGTTCATGCGCCAATCAATTGACAGTGAAGCAGAGAAGGAAGAGTTTTGATCTTTTTTTATTTTTGCTTTCATCGAATATGATCTACTACTCTTATCCGCTACCTTTAATGGGTCTAAGGTCGGATATTTTTTTTAATCCATTCTTTGAATGCAAATCAATATAACTTTTTGGTTTATGTTTTCATATGTAGTCCTATTAGCTATATGTCTCAAGATGTAACTGTTTGACTCAAAAGTTGTTTAATACTTTTTAGCAAATCAATCAATATAGATGAAGGGGTAAATCGTAGTTGAAAATAATAAACCCTAGGATGATCTTGAGTATAGGATCAGATAGCAATGGTGCAAATCGGAGAGATAAGAGAAGGTGACAATCTTCGAAAGGTAAGAGAGAGATAATGTTAGAGAGAGAAGAGAGAGAGTTAATGTATTTCCAATAATGAAAAATCCCCCTTTTACAAGGCTTGGATCCCTCTTTATATAATAGAGGATCCTTGCTTGAATATTAAAAGACAGAAAATAAAGTACATGCTATGGAGTGGCAGACGTGATCATGAAGTCGTCCCTCTCGTAATTCATAGGTCGCCCTTCTAGTCGGACTCACATACATTCGGTTGGTCGTGCTGGCTTAAGGACGTGGTCGTTCAAATTCGACCCCATACAGTTAGTCCCTCCGTTCGTCGGGGTCGCAGCGAATGCGTCCTCGATGGGCGGAATCGGTACCTCCGTTCCAAGAGAGTTGACTTTGTCAATGACTTGTGACGTGACAGGAAGGGGACAGTAATCATAACTGTCAGAGCGTTGAAGCGAAATGCCTTTCCCCGTGTGATGTCAGCGTTCGTTTACGTCATCATTGCGCGTATTCTCGAGGCAGGGGATTAGAAGCTTTTGGCGCCTGGTTTCTCATGTTGATTCGACGTCTGCCTCTTCGATTCTGGCGCCACCCATCCCTATAAATAGGAGAAGGGTTTAACTTGATTCAAACTTTGGCCATTTGCAAGAGCATTCCAGCCCTTCAGTGCATATTTTCCCATTCCGGTGCGTTTTCCTTTGATCGAAACCCTCTCTTTTTTCTTTTGTTTGGTTGTGCACAACTTTTCCTTCACCGAGACCATGCCTAAACCTTGCCGATTTGACGAGAGGGTCCCGACGGCTACCCCATCGAACGTGCCACCATCTTCCGATGGTGGAGAAGTGGAGGGGGAAGAGGACGTCAGTCCTCTTACTGTGGAGGCATTTTTGCCAAAGCATATCTTATCTCGAAGTGATTTCAGTAAAAACTCTCCCATACCGGCTCCAGATTTTTCCGAGTCGTTAAAGAATCACTTGGATGATCTCTGCGTGAAATACGACATACCCGCCTACGTAGAGATGGTTCCGGCGGGGAGGGATCACGTGGATGTTCATCGGCCAGGGTATTGTGCCTTTTATGAATACCCCTTTTCGATCGGTTACAGCCTCCCTCTTTTCCCTTTGGCGGAGGAGTTCTGTCGGTTCTATAACGTGTGTCCGGCTCAACTTACACCGTATACTCTGAAGGTGCTTCGGCTGCTAACCAAGTACGCGGAGTTGGCCGGATGCGAAGTCACGGTCCATCATCTCCTTCAATTATTCAGTGCCTGTTATCTAAGGGGGGCCATGGTGCATTTGAGAGGCCGTGGTACGAAAGGATTGGTGGTCAAAACCGACGACCGAGCGAGTCGTGGGTTCTGGCGCAAGTATTTCTTCATTAGGACCGAGCACACGGTCTCTAATCCTGCCGGGTTCCCAAAGAGGTGGAACTCGAAACGTAAGTATTTGCAGTTTGTCAAATTCTGTGTTACTCGTGACTGTCGCAATTCTGACCTTTGTATTGCAGCTATGGCTCACCCGCCCCGGCCCGTTGCCAACCTTAGGAGATGGGTTATTGGCTTGCTTCCTTACGCGGAAGAGACCCGCACTTGGTCTGCCTTCATGCAGCGTTACGGCCCCAAAGTCTCTTCAGGTAGATTTTTGATTTTTGCTTTGTAAATTCTGCAACCCTGCTCACTTGTTTTATGGCGACAGGTCGAGGCGCTTCTAGGAAGAGGGCGCCGGTCCCCACTCCCAATCGATTTGACGTTGCCTCGGTCTCTCATGATATACAGGTTGAGTCTGCTCGAGAGGATCCCTCTCCAGCTCCTTTACAGGAGGCCACATCTACGACCATGGTTATGTGGGAGTCGGCATCGTTGGTGCCGACTCTGCAACCCGTGGATGGACCCTCTGATGGCGAGGAATCATTAGACAGAAAACGGAGGAGGCTCGAGAAGGGTAAGGGAGTGGCCACCGAAGCCGAAGGAAGTGATGTGCCTCGGCCGACGCACAGACCATTCATGGCCGACGCCATTTGATCCAGGAGGTCCGCTCGACAAAGGAGTGCCGCTCCCGGTGCTGGTTCTGCATGCGCTGTTGAGGGAGGGTCGTCGACCAACGTCGAAGGACCAGGCGAGGAAACGGAGAAGTCGGACTCCGACATCGCTCAGGGGGATATCGACGAGTTTTTGGGTGGCCTTACCCACGTGGAGATGACGACGGATGGGTCCGACCACCGTATTACAATTCCGGCGGCTTACAACTTGCTGTTAAACAGCGAACAGGCTGCTTCGGCCCTTACCCTGCTGTGTGCCGCCTCCAAGAGCAAGACGCTCAGTACCGTGGAGAATACGGAGCTGTCACGAAGGGTTTCCGGCATGGCTTTGCAGGTAATCCTTATTTCCTTTCTCCCTTCCGCGTGTTCTAAGACTAATTTGAGGCGTGCTTACTTCTGCTTTTTCTTTTTAGATCCTTGTTTTAGAGGTAGAGAGGGGGTGCCGTGAGCAAAAACGGACGGCCCTCTACAAAAAGATGCTAAAAAAGTATCGAAGGTATCTCTCTAAGCACCGAGCGGTGGTTGAACGGGGGCAGTCCCAGTTGGAACGCAGGGGATCTGAGTTGGAGGAGGCGGATCGCGAGCTGATAAAGGCCGTGGCTTGCAACAGCGAGTGGGAGGAGCTTATCAGGACGAAAGATGACGAGTTTGAGCTGAGCCGTGGGGTGGCGGCGGAGAATGTCGACCTGCAGCAGAGGGTGGCGGATCTAACCGCCGAGCTCGATGCCAGGATGGCGGAGAATAATGGACTTTCTCAGCCTTCCTTATCTCGTCCTTCGCCTGGTCGGAGTATGCGTCGTAATGCGCATGAAATGTGGGTTTTTGCGGAGGCCAAGCTCGACGTGTATAGAGAGCTTCATGCCGCGGGCCGGGCGACGGAGGAGGAAGTTCAGGAACGGCGAGACGAGGCTCGCGCTGCTCGTGAGGCTTGTGGTTATTACCCCGACTCTCCTGATGGGGAGGGGCCTGCTTCTGAAGACGTCAATCGGCTGACTCCAGCTCCTGGTACAATGATGTTTACCTCCCAGGGGGCGACGGGCAGTTATAAACTTGTACAATGTATATTTTTGGCTTGTACAGTGTGTTGCAGCTCGTCCACGGGGGCGAATGTAAATATATTTTTGTTGTAATATAAATTTTATTTTTGTTGTTTCGTCCATTTGGTGCCTTCCCTTTGTTTTTCTTTTGTAATGTTTAGCCTCCGTAGAGGTTGTTCTTATCGTTCGTCAAAGGGTCGTGCCGTGATTCGAACGAGGTCGAACCGATGTCGATGGCCTTGGCCATTAGGATGTTGCTTCGACTGTCGTCGAAGTAGTATCCGTCATGGTTCGAACGAGGTCAAACCGATGTCAATGGCCTTGGCCATTAGGATATTGCTTCGACTTTCGTCGAAGTAGTATCCGTCGTGGTTCGAACGAGGTCGAACCGATGTCGATGGCCTTGGCCATTAGGATGTTGCTTCGACTATCGTCAAAGTAGTATTCGTCATGGTTCGAACGAGGTCGAACCGATGTCGATGGCCTTGGCCATTAGGATGTTGCTTCGACTATCGTCGAAGTAGTATTCGTCGTGGTTCGAACGAGGTCGAACCGATGTCTATGGCCTTGCCCATTAGGATGTTGCTTCGACTGTCGTCGAAGTAGTATCCGTCGTGGGATGGAGATTTATGTTCATTCAATGGAGATTTCTGTTCATTCAATGGAGATTTCTGTACATACAATGGAGAATTCTGTGCATACAATGGAGAACACTGTGCATACAATGGAGAGTAACTAGTGTAGTCCCTTCACTATATTGGCCTATGGCTCATGTCGATTGGCCAATATGGTGAACCTGCGCTCCTGTTCCATCGGGTATCCCCTTTGTCGCCTCGTTAAAAACCTCCCCGAGAAAACCCAATTGGGACAAAACTCGG